GTTGATGTAGAAGAGACATGAAGAAGAGGGGACACATGTTGATGTAGAAGAGACATGAAGAAGAGGGGACACATGTTGATGTAGAAGAGACATGAAGAAGAGGGGACACATGTTGATGTAGAAGAGACATGAAGAAGAGGGGACACATGTTGATGTAGAAGAGACATGAAGAAGAGGGGACACATGTTGATGTAGAAGAGACATGAAGAAGAGGGGACACATGTTGATGTAGAAGAGACATGAAGAAGAGGGGACACATGTTGATGTAGAAGAGACATGAAGAAGAGGGGACACATGTTGATGTAGAAGAGACATGAAGAAGAGGGGACACATGTTGATGTAAAAGAGACATGAAGAAGAGGGGACACATGTTGATGTAGAAGAGACATGAAGAAGAGGGGACACATGTTGATGTAGAAGAGACATGAAGAAGAGGGGACACATGTTGATGTAGAAGAGACATGAAGAAGAGGGGACACATGTTGATGTAGAAGAGACATGGAGAAGAGGGGACACATGTTGATGTAGAAGAGACATGAAGAAGAGGGGACACATGTTGATGTAGAAGAGACATGAAGAAGAGGGGACACATGTTGATGTAGAAGAGACATGAAGAAGAGGGGACACATGTTGATGTAGAAGAGACATGAAGAAGAGGGGACACATGTTGATGTAGAAGAGACATGAAGAAGAGGGGACACATGTTGATGTAGAAGAGACATGAAGAAGAGGGGACACATGTTGATGTAGAAGAGACATGAAGAAGAGGGGACACGTGTTGATGTAGAAGAGACATGAAGAAGAGGGGACACATGTTGATGTAGAAGAGACATGAAGAAGAGGGGACACATGTTGATGTAGAATAGACATGAAGAAGAGGGGACACATGTTGATGTAGAAGAGACATGAAGAAGAGGGGACACATGTTGATGTAGAAGAGACATGAAGAAGAGGGGACACATGTTGATGTAGAAGAGACATGAAGAAGAGGGGACACATGTTGATATAGAATAGACATGAAGAAGAGGGGACACATGTTGATGTAGAAGAGACATGAAGAAGAGGGGACACATGTTGATGTAGAAGAGACATGAAGAAGAGGGGACACATGTTGATGTAGAATAGACATGAAGAAGAGGGGACACATGTTGATGTAGAAGAGACATGAAGAAGAGGGGACACATGTTGATGTAGAATAGACATGAAGAAGAGGGGACACATGTTGATGTAGAAGAGACATGAAGAAGAGGGGACACATGTTGATGTAGAAGAGACATGAAGAAGAGGGGACACATGTTGATGTAGAAGAGACATGAAGAAGAGGGGACACATGTTGATGTAGAATAGACATGAAGAAGAGGGGACACATGTTGATGTAGAAGAGACATGAAGAAGAGGGGACACGTGTTGATGTAGAAGAGACATGAAGAAGAGGGGACACGTGTTGATGTAGAAGAGACATGAAGAAGAGGGGACACGTTGTTGATGTAGAAGTGACATGAAGAAGAGGGGACACGTGTTGATGTAGAAGAGACATGAAGAAGAGGGGACACATGTTGATGTAGGACATTGATGACATGAAGAAGAGGGGACACATGTTGATGTAGAAGAGACATGAAGAAGAGGGGACACATGTTGATGTAGAAGAGACATGAAGAAGAGGGGACACATGTTGATGTAGAAGAGACGTGAAGAAGAGGGGACACATGTTGATGTAGAAGAGACATGAAGAAGAGGGGACACATGTTGATGTAGAAGAGACATGAAGAAGAGGGGACACATGTTGATGTAGAAGAGACATTGAAGAAGAGGGGACACATGTTGATGAAGAAGAGACATGAAGAAGAGGGGACACATGTTGATGTAGAAGAGACATGAAGAAGAGGGGACACGTGTTGATGTAGAAGAGACATGAAGAAGAGGGGACACATGTTGATGTAGAAGAGACATGGAGAAGAGGGGACACATGTTGATGTAGAAGAGACATGAAGAAGAGGGGACACATGTTGATGTAGAGGAGACATGAAGAAGAGGGGACACATGTTGATGTAGAAGAGACATGAAGAAGAGGGGACACATGTTGATGTAGAAGAGACATGAAGAAGAGGGGACACGTGTTGATGTAGAAGAGACATGAAGAAGAGGGGACACATGTTGATGTAGAAGAGACATGGAGAAGAGGGGACACATGTTGATGTAGAAGAGACATGAAGAAGAGGGGACACATGTTGATGTAGAAGAGACATGGAGAAGAGGGGACACATGTTGATGTAGAAGAGACATGAAGAAGAGGGGACACATGTTGATGTAGAAGAGACGTGAAGAAGAGGGGACACATGTTGATGTAGAAGAGACATGAAGAAGAGGGGACACATGTTGATGTAGAAGAGACGTGAAGAAGAGGGGACACATGTTGATGTAGAAGAGACATGGAGAAGAGGGGACACATGTTGATGTAGAAGAGACATGAAGAAGAGGGGACACATGTTGATGTAGAAGAGACATGAAGAAGAGGGGACACATGTTGATGTAGAAGAGACGTGAAGAAGAGGGGACACATGTTGATGTAGAGGAGACATGAAGAAGAGGGGACACATGTTGATGTAGAAGAGACGTGAAGAAGAGGGGACACATGTTGATGTAGAAGAGACATGAACACGTGGATTTTGCTTAATAGGGGACCTTTAATAAAACATAAAATGCAAAACAAATCCTCTCATGTCTGATATAATTCAGAGGTTTTTTTAGAGCCAAATGGATGTCTTTCAGCCTCACCGTATGACTGTGCTCTCTGCTGGTAATAAGTGCTTAACAAAGTGACATGCTGGGGTATTGACCTGCTAATCATGGCGTGTTCAGCAGGGAACAGGCAACGATTAAGCAACATCAAAGGAACAGCTGGAGGCCGGCAGCCCAGCCCCCTCTTCTTACATTTAAATATGAGTGAAGCTTCACATCCTGCAACCGTAACACTCTGCAGGTAGGGCGGTGTTTCTCACACAATCAAACTGTAATGAATTCTCACCAAAGCTACTTTTAATGATGGAACTCATTATGCAGTTTAAATTGATGTTGATCCCCTTGGCTGGAGTCTTCACTAGAGACAGCACAATGAGGGACTTTGCTCCACTTCAACACCCAAACTAATTTCAAGACTTCCCATGGCATCCACTGACTATTTATCTCATCATGAGTTACTCTAAAGATAGATTTCATAGCTTTAACTCGAAAATAAATAAAACGAATTAGGCCCTTCACCATAACTACTTGGACAATATTTTGTACCAGGAATTATTGTATTTTTATGCTGCTGATATTATGATAATCTTTACCAGAGACGACACAATAGGTGCTTTCACACCAAGTACTTTGCCGTACTTAGTTCATGAGAACTCTTTAGTTCTCCTGAACTAAGTACAGATTGCGTTCACACCGGAATAAATCCCTGAGGGAGGATTAGGCAAATGAAGCCGCTGACGTCACTTCTTCTTCTTCTGCTTTGGGTTTACTGGCAGGCCGCAAACAACTTCACGGTGTATCCTGCCACCCGAAGTCCCCGGCCGGAAGTCCCCGGAGTTGCGGACTGGCTTCAGTAGAAGCTGCTGGGACTCCCAGCAGCTCTCTAAATTGAATGTATTATTTATTTATGTACATATTCCCTATCATGTCTTTTTTAAGTCCCATTTATTGTTTTTATTGTTTTTATAGTGTCTTGTTGTTTTTATATTGTCTTGTTGTTGCGTGTTGGCACCTTGAGTTTATTGTAATTTCGTTGTACCTGTTCAATGACAAAATTAAAGATCTATCTATCTATAAGCCTTGTTGCGTGGAAATCCATCCATCCATCCATCTTCTCCCGCTTATCCTTGGTCGGGTCGCGGAGGTAGCAGTTCCAGCAGAGAGCCCCAAACTTTCTTTCCCCTGGCGACATCAACCAGCTCTGACTGGGGGATCCCAAGGCGCTCCCAGGCCAGCGAAGAGATATAATCCCTCCACCTGGTCCAAGGTCTACCCCTTGGTCTCTTCCCAGCTGGACGTGCCTGGAACACCTCCCTAGGGAGGCGCCCAGGTGGCATCCTAACTAGGTGCCCGAACCACCTCAACTGGCTCCTTTCGACGCGAAGGAGGAGCGGCTCAACTCCGAGTCCCTCCCTGATGACCGAACTTCTCACCTTATCCCTAAGGGAGACACCAGCCACCCTGCGGAGAAAACCCATCTCGGCCGCTTGTATCCGCGATCTCGTTCTTTCGGTCATGCGTGGAAATCGCTTAATAAAAATAAAAATAATAAGCCCTTTCACCATAACTACCACGACTACTTGGACAATATGTTGTACCAGGAATTATTGTATTGTTATGCATAATGAAAATATAATAATGCATGATGATCCGTTCAAAAGATAAATACATTTTAATACTTAAAAATATTCAAACCTTGGATATAATGAAACAAGAATAAAAAATATATAATTGGAAAAAATATTTAAGAAAATAATAACAACCAAAACCAAACGGTTAACAAAAACGGTGCGATGTCTACACAATGCCTATTCTTATATCAGTAAGGTATTTATATTATATACAGTATATCATTTCAGACACAAAGGACCACAAAACTCAAGGGAGATTACGTTTGTGTGATAGAGATTCTGCAATGTTTTTAGTGTTTGTTGATTGTTATGTAAGGACCACAGATGGAAATGAGAAATCAGCTCAAATCTGGCATAATTCATATATTTTCTGAGATCAATGTATTTGTGTGCACGATCCTTGTTGAAATAAATACAATAATACCAAAAGATAAAGCGATTAAGATTTACATTGCATTTCTACGGTATAGAAGGTTTAGGGGTTGCACACACTCCTGAGCAGAGGTTTAACTATGTACAGTGAACCGTGTGTGTGTGTGTGTGTGTGTGTGTGTGTGTGTGTGTGTGTGTGTGTGTGTGTGAGGCATTCAGAGACACAATGTGACACAGATTATATGTTGTGCTACTTACATAGAGAGGAGCTTGCTGTGGATTGAGTTTCATGTCCCTGGACACTGGAACGACAAGAGACAATCAGAGGTTATAGCTTTGAGGTTTGTTAATATACTGTAAACAGAGGTGGGAAGTAGTGGAGTAACACCTAGCAACACTGAGCTAGCTAATATGCTAACCAGCCAATCATCTTTGAGTAGATGCACGCTCTCTTCTGCACAGGGATAAGGTTGCCGGATGTTGTTTGGTTAGATGACAAACATTTCCTAAACTAAAGGGTTTTTTTAACATGTTTTTTGGCGCTTCTGAACACCCCAAGTCGAGTGAAATCTAGTTGCATTACATTAAAGAGCAAGCAGATATTTCTACATCCCATATGACCAAAATAATCAACATTGATTTAGCTCTACGGGTAAGATCACCTAGCACAGGGTATCTGCAGGAATCCTGAAGTCAAATGTAAAACCTTTTTTAAGACCCTTCCCATACATTTTAAGACCTCATCACCACTTGGAGTTCTAACCGGTTACCTTGGCGACACACTTCACCTCACATTGACTGTATACAGTATTGATTGTCCTTCCTCCTTATCTTCCAACCATTTGGACGCAAACTTGCATTTCCCCATAACGATGTTGCTTAGCAACCGGCGTAAACGGACCTTCGCGCTATCAAGCAGTGAGCGTGCGATGTCCTGTTCAGATGACGTCAAACCCAACGGGATGCCATCAATAAACTACACAGAATCACACTACACACCTACGCCATGATTACATTCAGGCAGACTGTAGAATACAACCTCTTTGGACCATTTAGATACTTATTGAAAACAAGCTACAAAATGTAATACCTTGGAAAATGCAGTTTAATACTTTTTAAATTCTTAATTTTCACTAAATTGATTCATCAATTTGTAATACTTTTTAAGACCCCGCGGACACCCTGTAGCATCGCTGAGCTAGCTAATGTGCTAACCAGCCAATCATCAATAAGGTTGCCGGATGTTGTTTGTTTAAAGGACAAACAATTACATTACAATGTTTTTAAATGTGTTTTTGGCGCTTCTGAACACCCCAAGTCGAGTTAAGTCTAGTTGCATTACATTAAACAGCAAGCAGATATTTCTACATCCCATAACTCTGCATTGATTTAGCTCTACAGGTAAGAGGGAAAGTATGCATTAAGGATTTTGGGCTGAACTGTCTCCTTCATAACGTTTATTTGTGCTCAATGTTTATTTATCTCCAGACATGAAGTCAAATTAGCATTCATAGTAAGTCATTCTGGCTTTCTAACAAACACAAGTCCAATATTGACTGTCCTTCAAGCTCTGTGAAATATAAAAAGTGTGAAATGAGCCAGGGTTGTGTTTTGCTGGAGTAAAAAAAAACCTGCAAACAAATTGCTTTAGATAACACTGGGCATGATGGCTTTTGGTTGTTCACATCAGCTCTAGCAGTATCAGAAGATTGTTGCTGACAAGGTGACAGTTAAGCTTGACCCTGGCAGTTTTCCCAACACTTTGTGGGAGGTTTATAGTGCATGAACAGACCCACATTGAGTCATACGGGAACACACACACACACTCATCATCCAACCAAAACGGCCAAGTCTCCATTTGTGCTCGTTTATTCAAAGCAAAGACAAACTACTTGTGTCTCATCCTTACCGAGCAAACAGTAACGATGAGTTACAGCACCAAAACACATTACTTTGATTCTGATTCATTGGCTCAGGTTCACGTTTGATTCTCTACTTCAAGTCTGGGACGCAGAGCTGTTTTCTTGGCACAAGGTCAGCAGCAGTGGGTGTGTAATAATATCCAAGAAAACATATTACAGCGATAGACTCGAGAACGAAGGGATTGGAAACCTTTTCGTTGCACTTTCTTGAGACGATGTTGGCCTTTCGTTCATTCATCAATAAGTCAAGGGACTGGTCGACTTCGAGAGCACGTATTATTCGCCGCTATTTGAAGACAATTGACTTTTGTTTGCCTTTCCCAGCTGGCACCAAAACAAGTCTTTGCTTCAGCACATTAATCACATGAAGCCCTCAGAGACAAAAGGCCGGGACCTAATGAGTTCAGCAGAAAACACCAAAAGTGTCAATGTTGGACTCGACAAATCAACGAGACCATTCACTCTGCAACCCAATCCAGACATGTTTCTTCTTCTCTGCTGAATAAATAGGCCCGGTCAGAATTAAGCGCATCAGGTTAGAGGATAATCAGTAGCTCTAATAATACTCTGGAGCTTAATCCTCTTGCCTTAAGTGCCCAGAGACCAGCTTCAATACAACATGCACGTCTTGGACTGATAAGACTCTCGCATGATGTCTCCAGCAGGCTCATCTGTTCCTTTATGTTTGAATAAGACATTTGTTAGTTTTCTCTTTATTAATATTCGTAAGTGTTTCTATTGAGAGAGCGGTGAGGCCTGCGCTACCCTTGGTGTCGCACACTGCTCGAAATGTAGGCAGAAAATTCAAATTATTTCAACCTTTTAGTTTCCTTAAGAAGGAAATGTGTATGAAACAGACATTTATAGTGAGAGCCATTATCATAAGACTATAATTGACTCCCTAAATCTCCTGATTAAGCAGTTCTGCGTTTGAAGTACAAATTATTTCAACTTTGTCCTGATAACCGCTGCCCTTTCAACCCAAAACCAATCAGATAACAGAATAGAATAGAAGAATAGAATTCCTTTATTGTCATCGCACCAGGTACAACGACATTTTAAAAAGCAATCCTCACAGTTAGTGCTGCGTACCGGTACGCCGAACCGGTACTGGACTTGTAAAAAGTTTCGGTTCAAGTCCGGTTAAAACCGGAACGTCGGGAACCGGTACTTGGACTCGCAAAAAAACTAGCACTTACATATATTCTGGTGTCTGTGGTTATTTAAACATTCCCTGATAAACGTTATTCAGCGTCAATAAATGAGTGCTAATCCCAGTGTGCTCAGTGTACAACATCACATGTCATTTCACCTTCGATTCACGGTTTGAAAACGTAGCATTTCGCCACATGCTAATGCTAACCGGAAGTGAAGAATTTTCAGAATAAAAGTATTAAGTTAATAGTGTGAACTTCCGGTCTTTTCAGAATAAAACTGATTTAAATTAAATAGTGTATTTAATTCAAAATTACGCCATATCAACATTGATTTTAATTTCTAACAGTATGTATGTACATCACTATGTATGTATATGTACTGTATAATGTACACATGTAGAGTTGTAGAAAAGACATGGTGTACAGACAGTACATTACACTCTGACTGTACAGTCACTACAGTGTGTATACTGTACAGTAGGTGTGTAACAGTTTAATGCGTATAGTCTACTCTACACTACCTTTCAGCAACGTTTTAGGGATTTAGGCTCAGTCAGCTCAGGGACTGTTTGGTTACTTTAGTTTGCTAAATGAAAGACATGTTTGAACTTTGTAGTAGTTCACTGTAGTTGCTGTCATAAGTTATTTGTAGACTAAGTGGCAAAAAGTGTTTTTTTTTACATTTGTACTTTGTAGAGAAATGTAGACACAAGTTGGAAGGGAGCACAATAAACCTGACGAGTTTGAATTTGAGTTGATTATGAGTTGATTTTCAATTGATAATTAGCTCACAATAAGTTCACTTTAGTTACTCACACAACTTGACACAAGCCATGGGTTCAGGTCCGGACTTATAAGTCCGGACCTGAACCTAAATGTGAGTCCAGGTACGCAGCACTACTCGCAGTGCATTTCCACATAAAACGAATAAATATATATCTATATAAACATATACACACATAAACATATGCTCACACATCCATACCAACATGCATACGTGCCCGCACATTATTTAAATACAGTTTACAGTATAAAATATTATATATTTAGCGGTGCAAGCTAGCAGAGGAGGTAACCAAAGAAACTAAACTAGCTTTTTTTAAGAGCAAGACTCTGCGCCCAACCTCGCAGTGAGCAAAGAGAAAATGACGTATCATGTGAATGCAGCTTTAGGGTTAGGGTCCGTCTCAAGGGTGCTTCAACAGATCAACTCAACTTCATAGTTGGCTGATATTTCATTTTAAAAAGACACCACTTGGTGCTAAACCTTTGCAAAATATTGGAAAGATGGGTTGCCAGATTCAAAGTGTTGATGACAGTTACAGTTCATCCAATGAAGGTTTCTGGCTCTTTTTACAGCTAAACACAACAGTGCTACCCCGGCAATACGCCCTTAAAAAATGATATTGTCTTAAAGAAGGAGCTTTATTTATTTTGCTTAATATACCTTTTTTTATAAACCTTTTACTGGGAAGACAAGAGCTTACCATGGTGCTGCAGGTGTGTCCTCAGATAAAATGTGTATCCATTTGATTGTGTAAATTCATAGCACTTTTTTATGGATACTCTCAAATCACCTTATTTCTCAGCTATCGCGTTCATTCGATCAAAGACTACATTAAACAGTAGATATGAGGTTTAGTTGTTGTTTAACGGTAGCCACAGGATACTACTCCCTCCGCCATATTTCCCCAGCTAAACATTACTAAGATTTTACATGTTATGGATTTAGGTGACATTGATAAAAATGGGAATCACAATGACTGTGTACTCATTAGCTCACACGACCATTAACCATATGTTCTTTCAAACCAAGACTCAAACATTTGGTCACTTTTGTTTCTGGGTTGTTGCGATATGATTCAGATATGAAAGTTACACAAAGAGGAAGCTGATTCAGTAAAATGCATCATCACAGGATGGGATTGCTCCACTGCCTATATCTGTGTATCTGTGTATCTTAAGTACAACGTTAACTGCTGTTAACCGCTGTGTTTTGTAACAGCCTATTTTTGTTAGCTTAGCTCAGTGCTCACCAACCATTTTAAGCCCAAGATCACCGACCTCGGCCTAGGTGAAAGGCGAGATCTACCTATTGCAGAATTGAGTGAAAAAGACGGCCCAGACAGTGTTTCCAATTTGAGGCCTTTTATAGGCTGATTGCATCTGAATTACTGTTACAACGAAGGCTCCATCATCAGCTCACGGCATATAGGCAGGGGT